AATGATAGCCTTCTTGATTCCCAAGACTATATGGTGGTCAATTGTTGCTCGCACGATTGACATCAGGGCCATTGAGGCTGAACTTTGTAAGAAACGCTCCACAAAACAGGAATTTGGTGACTGGTATCTCTCCGTAAAGGAGGAAAGAAAGAAATCTCTCCTTGAAGGAGGAAAAAGATCTCTCCATGAAAGAGGAAAATTTCTCCATAAATGAGTAAATGGTCTCTCCATAAAAGAGGAATTAGGTCTCTCTATGGAGGAGAAAAGTGGAGGATTGTAAATCTCCTTGGAAGAGAAGGGAATAAGTGCAAGAGTTTTCTCCATGAAAGAGAAGAAGGAATCAAAATTCAAAGACCCTTGTGCCTTGCGTATAAAATTCAAAGAATATTTTAGTGTATTGGTCGGCGGATATGGGATCCTGGAAAATCATGTTTACCGCGAGTTGGAGATGAAAGTACATTCTTTTTTGTTGTATGGCGCTATACATATAATCGTTGAAAGTTGGCAATCCAAAGATTTAATTTCATCGATAGAATCAGTATATTGGGTTCTTTATCAAAGAATATTTATAGATCTTACTCGGAAGTTGGTCAACGTAATACAAAAAAAAAATTATTGTTTGGTAGTTTCATCGAATGGGTAAATACCAAAGAAGAAGATCGCATCAGATCGAATGCGAACATGTGGAAGAAAAATTACATAGTTGATATTCTGCTAGTGAGTAAGACTTTTTGGAGAAAAATATCGCTAAATGTCACTTTCTTTATTTTTCAAAATTGTAGGTATATCACTGGTTGTAAATTTCCTATTTTCAGTGTGTATTATATAATCTTGAATATTATATGAATAAAAATATGTTAAAAACAAAATGTCACAAATTAGTTATCCAAACTTTGATAGGGGTTTTTGCCCATCCCAGTTACTAATCTAATAATATTTCTTGTTTTTGTCAACAATAAATTATCGTAAATAGATTAAGTGAGCCAACAATAAATTAAGGAAAATTTGTTAAATTGACTCAGTCTGAAATTGGGAATGTCCCAATAACCTTTATCTTTTTTTTTACCAATTTTTTCCTATATTACCATTTGATTAATATTGTAAAATACAGAAAAATGGTTTTTATAATTTTATAAAATCAGGAAAAAAACAAAGTGTAATGTACAAGGCATATAGATACATGTTTATATTTTTGTTAAAAAAACTATGACCGAAAATTATATATTTTTCCTTCTACCATGCTCGAATCTACTAGTAGATTAGGTGTTCTGCGAATTTGGGTCATTCTACGAGTGGTAGAAGAAAGTATTCCACTAACTGCACAAGTTCTACAAATAGCAGATTGCACATTCCAGTACTACGACTTGCAGAATGCTATTTCTACCAATGACTCTATCTTCTACGAACCGCAGAATACATATTTTGCCATTTCTATCCACCTCTTTCTCTATCTTCTACGAAATGGTAGAAAGCCTATTCTACCAACGGTAGTTTAAATCCCCTAAATCTAGGACCATTAGTTATTTACTTTCCAAAAAATGTTTTATTCGATATTTACTTTCCAAAAACGTTTTTTCCGATTTTCCAAAAAATATGCGAATGCATTTTTGATTTTTTAAGTATTTTTGGAAAAAACACATTTTCTTTCTTTTGAATATAATAGAAAACCTATATGAATATAATATTTTTGTTTGCTTATTTGTTCGATTAAACACTTGAGACTCACTTGGTTAAAAAACGCATATACCTAGATTCGAGGTCACGAGTTCGATGTCACATGGTGACACAATTTTACATTTTTTTCGCATCGTACAATTTTTGATTAAAAACGGAAAACGTATATGAATATATATTGCTTTCGTTTGCTTCATTGTTCGATTAAACACCCATAGCTCACTTGGATTGAAAATGCACATACCTAAAATCAGAGGTCACGAGTTTGATATCACATGGTGACACATTTTGCATTTTTTTCTTACGTTTTGAAGTTGATTTTAGTTTCCTAAATCTAGGATCAATAAATCGTGATTAATATTGTTGCCAAAAACGATTTATTCTTAAACAATCTTCCTAAATCTAC